TGGTTGGCACATTTGAGCAAGGGTGAAGAAGTTAGAGTTGAAATGGAGTTGGTCGAAATGATGCTGGCGTCGGTCTACTGACCGGACGCTGGGTCACTCAGCGACCGGACGCTGAAAGGCTGCGTCCGGTCGAGCTGTCAGACGGCACAGTGGGTAGGGTTGAGCACCGGACGCTGGTCTGCGTCCGGTCAAGGTGGACCGGACGCGTCCGGTCGAAAAAACATGCCTTGGGGAGCTTACTGGAAACGACCGGACGCTGGGGCTTCAGCGTCCGGTCAGTTTTGACCGGAGCGTCTGGTCAGCTTCATAGCCGTTGAAATCTGACGAACAGCGTTTGAAGCTGGTGACGCGTGGCATCCATCGGGCGACCGGACGCTGAGGGCCAGCGTCCGGTCGGCATGACCGGAGCGTCCGGTCAGAGCGTGTTTTGCCCAGTGAAGGGGTACAACGGCTCTATTTGATGGGGGCTCTATTTATAGCCCCATGGCCGGCTCAAGGGAACTCTCTTGCACATTTTCATTGACATAGCAACCTTGTGAGCTTAGCCAAAGTCCTCCCACTCATCTCCATCATTGATCCATCATCATTGTGAGATTGGGAGAGAATCCAAGTGCATTGCTTGAGTAATTGCATCTAGTGGCACTTGGTATTCGTGTTGCGCTGCGGATTTCGCTTGTTTCTCTTGGTGGTTGCCACCACCTAGACGGTTGGAGCAGCGGTGAAGGATCGGCACGAGTTGGTGATTGTTTGTGGCCGCCTTCGGTGATTGTGAGGGGAGTTGTACCTTCCCCGGCGGAGCGCCGAAAGGTAACTCTAGTAAATTGCTCGTGTCATTGAGTTACCTCACTTGTGGGTCGGTTCTTGCGGTGTCCAATCGTGTGGACGAGGTTTGTGAAACACCTCTTAGCCGCCGAACCACCAAGTGTTGGTCGACACAACGGGGACGTAGCGTGTTGGCAAGCACGTGAACCTCGGGGGAAAATCGATTGTCTCTCTTCTTTGTCATTCTCCCGGTGATTGGCTATATATTCATCTTGTGATTGGTTCATCCCCTACACGTCAATATAATCACTCTACTCACTCATTTACATTCTTGCAAACTAGTTGATACAAGCTCTTTAGTGTAATTAGAATTGAGAGCTTGCTTTATTATTTACATTCATCTAGTTGAGCTCTTTAGAGTAGCAAGGTTGAGAGCTCTTAGTGAGTAATTACATAGCTAGTTTGTGTGCCTAAGTATTCATTGCAACTAGAATTGTTGGATAGGTGGCTTGCAACCCTTGTAGAGTTAGAGCAAGTTTGCATTACGCTATTTGTCATACTAATCAAATTGCTCTAGTTGATTTGTAGATTTTTAAATAGGCTATTCACCCCCCTCTAGCCATATTAGGACCTTTCACCTATGCACTAGCTATCTAGAATGCTATTGTAATAGATGTAAAGGTCGACAAGGAACTATTTTTATGTTTCAAGTTTTATGATGATCAGAACATCTTGTGTTAATGTACTGGAAAATAACCAAATTGTTGGGCTTTATGTGATTTTCATTATATAATCTGTGATGGTCAAATTTGATGTACACGTGACGATTACATGGAACCTCAAATTTATGACGAGAAACATCATATGTGGCAGATGGATATGACGATCTATTTTGTCACGCTCTATCGGGCCTAGTCTAGGCTGAATGGGCTTCTAGGGATTCATGACGAACACAGATGACAATCGGTGACGGCTTATATTGGTTCAACAAATGTATGACGCGAGATACATGACGTTTTTTTTTCCAATTGTCATGGTAAGTTAATCGTGACGCATTTTCGCTTGTCTATGACGAAAGTAAATCGTCATGTATAAGGGTATTTCTTGTAGTGTTACAACCCTGCACCTAAACTTAGAACATTTCTATTAGAGTAAAATGCATGGATGGTACATTAACTTGTGAGAGTGTATCGATTTGGTCCATCAAGTTTGAAAGTGTATTTTTTGGTTCAAAACCTTGATCAGTGGTGCATAAATAGTCCTTGCCCCTTCATTTCATGTTTAAATTTGTAGAAAACCTCCCTTACTTAAATTGCAACACCGGGTAGCTGAACCCGCCCGACCAGCCCCCACCCGCCGCCGAACAACCCGTACGGGGAGTAGGCGTCGTTCGACTCCGCGCGCCGCGACGCCCACAGGATGCGGACCCCGCGGAACGTGCCCCACACGGTGTGGTCGTCCGGCAGCGACGCCACGACGTCGTTCGCGCCTTGCGTCTTGTGGAGGTGCAGCGCCGGCGCTGATGCGAGGCCGCACGCGCCGAGGTAGAGCTGCGCCACGTCATAGAGCTCGTTGGGCACGCAGTTGGCATCCGTCTCGTGCACCACGATGGTGTCAGGCGGCTGGGCGAAGGTGGCCGCGGCGCGGGCCACGAGTGCCTCCGGCAGGAGCATGTCGCGCACAGCCGTGCGCACCACCATGGCCATGGCCACGAGCGAGCGCCAGGGAGCTCCAGCTCAGAGCTACCACCCCCATGTGTCTCGGCTCGCTTCCTTCCTCTGACGGAGCTCCTCGCCATGGCCGCCGGTGACGTGGTCACTGTCCACCTCTCGGCCGTGGCAGCTTGGACGGCGTGACGAAGGGCGGGATAGCTGCAGGAGGTTGTGGTGCAGCTACAGCACAGGCCGCAGCAGCTTTGTTCTCCAAGGGCTCATGTCCATGGCCAGCGACGCGCTGCACTCCAACATCATCACGCTGGGCTGCTCGTGCTCCCGCTGTCCGAGCAGCTCCGGTTCCTGGCCGCCGCGTCTTCCGCGGAGCCGTGAAGGTGAAGCCCTGCGTGCCGGACTTCAAGCTGGCGCTGGAGCACTTCTGCATCCACGCAGGCGGGCGCGGCGTGCTGGACGAGCTGGAGCGCAGCGTCGGCTTCAGTGACTAGCACATGGAAGGGTAAGCTTGTGAAAGAAAAACAAATACAAAGGGTTTTCTACAAATATAAACAGAAAATGAAAGACGTATGGACTATTTATGCACCACTGATCAAGATTTTGGACCAAAAATATACTTTCAAACCTAATGGACCAAATCGACATACCCTCATAAGTTAATGGATCATCCATGCAGTTTACTCTTTCTATTAACATAAAATAAATTCTAGACCACGCTAGAGCATGGGTTTACAAAGGATGTGCTAATGTATTGGATCCATGAAATCTACTCCGTCTTCAACATGTCACCTCTATTCTTTTAATGAACAAGCATGAGAACGTGTCAATTTCTATTGAAAAAGTTGGGTGCTTTTTTTATGCGGCGGAGCGTGAGAGCACAAGAAAAAAAAATATAGGCTCCGTTTGCTTGAGCTTATAAGCTAGAATCAACCATCATTTTTCAGCCATAGAATAATGTTTTTCTCTTACAATAAATCAGTCATATAAATCAGCAGCAGCAGTAATAAGTCCTGCCAAACATAGCCATAAACGCTACTGTCCCAATTGAAGGTGCCAAGCTGTCAAGCACCTCGCTCTATGCTTGTAGAATGTTGGATTCCTCTCATCCTCAAATCTTACGAATCACTAGCAGGGCGTTAGAACACATAGCTTTCTAAGACATTGTTCGCTTTGCTAAAAAACCATGGCTAAAAGTAATGTTCGTTGATTTATTGTGAGAGAAAAATACTATTTGTTCGTTGAAATAGTATGGCTCATAAGACGAGCGAACATGGCCTAAGGTGTTGTTTGGCATTTGCTTCTTCGGCAGTTTAAAAAGTTGTTTAGAGCCATTTTTGCTAAACGGGTTAAAATAGAATAGCTAATCAAGTGGAACTTCTTATTATATAGTCTCACGAGGGATAGATACTAGATGAAGCTGAAAATACTGACTTTTTTCAGCTCTCTGTTCTAGATCTAATTTAACAATCTGTTCTACGAAATATATATATTTTTAAAAAAATAGATTCAACTCTACCCGTGGAGCTACTCGTGGAGCATAAGTACAAAAAGTTATTCCACCAGGGAATAGTGAAGCAATGCCGTACCAAGCAAAACCTAAATCTCGTAAGTTGAGTTCAATTCAATGCAATAAACGAATACTCGCTGCTCAAAGTCTGAAACACCTGCTAGCTAGTGCATCAGTGCTTACGTTTGTTCAAGGTGTGTGTGATTGTTCAAGGCGTCGCAAACTTCACAATGATTGAGTTTGGCGGAGTACCGGTCCAAAACCGGGACCGCCTGCTTGCCTGTACCTGTACTCCTGTAGGCATATATACCAAAGCAAAAACCAAAGTATTAATCAGTATATATATAGGGAGAAAGAAATAAAAAACGAAAGTCCTCTTCAGCGTGCAAGTGGTCGGACCCACGCTCTCCCTAATCATTAATCAACACGTGTGGGGCCTACATACATGACCTCTCCTCTGTTTTTATCATATTCGCTTGTTGGTTTCGGTCAGAACTTATCAATAATGATATAATATTTTTCTCTCATAATAAACTAGCATCAGCCAAACTTATCAGTTCAGAAACCGATCAACGTCCACGACCGATCAACGTCCACGAGGCACCATTCTCCTTCTCGGTGCTCTGGATATTTGATCTGTGGCTGTTCTTTAATCTCTCTCTTTCACCTCACCCTCTCATTCATTTGGCTGCATCGGTTCCTAGCATCCACACACACTCCGGTTTCGTTCTCTGTCTGGTTATAATCCGGTCATCTCATGATGGCTAAGGGCACGTTCGTTTCGCACGGAAACGAACGACGGAACCGATCTGGTCAGGAACGTTGCTATACTGTATACGGGCAACCATCACCAGGTAACGTTCCGGTCCGCCTAAACGAACGGGCCTTAAGCAATCTCAGTATAATGCTGGTCAAGTCAATGAGACAATGACAATGTCGAAGCCACCGTTATAGACTGTAGTAGAAGCAGTTGCAAATAAAACTGACACTACTAAACCAGATTTAATTTTAATTTGCAATTGGATCGACGGTTCCTCACGGCGAAAAGACAGACGCGCGCGGCAATGGGGAGCTTCAAGCTCTCCTTGCTTTGTCTCGTCCCGTTCCTTCTCCTCGCGGCCGTTGCGGTCGCCGGCGGCGACACGCTCACCACATTCATCGTGCACGTGCAGCCCCCGGAGCCGGAGGAGAACCAGCAGACCGCTGGCGACCGGGAGGCATGGTACAGGTCGTTCCTGCCCGAGGACGGGCGGCTCGTCCACGCGTACCACCACGTCGCGAGCGGCTTCGCGGCCCGGCTGACGCGGGAGGAGCTCGACGCGATGTCCGCGATGCCCGGGTTCGTGGCGGCGGTCCCGGAGGAGATGTACGAGCTGCACACGACGCACACGCCTCTGTTCCTCGGCCTGGATGCCCGGCGAGGAGGCAGGCCGGCGTCTCGCGGTCACGGCGGCTCCGAACGCGGCGCTGGGGTCATTGTCTGCTTGCTCGACACCGGCATCTCCCCGACGCACCCGTCCTTCGACGACGACGGCATGCCGCCGCCGCCGGCGAAGTGGAAGGGCCGCTGCGACTTCGGTGTCCCCGTGTGCAACAACAAGCTCATCGGAGCTCGCTCGTTCATGTCCGTCCCCGCCGCCGGCGGCAACTCCTCGTCGCCGGTCGACGACGCCGGCCATGGCACGCACACCGCCAGCACGGCCGCCGGAGCCGTCGTGCAGGGCGCTCAGGTCCTCGGCCAGGCCGCGGGGGTCGCCGCCGGGATGGCGCCCCGCGCGCACGTCGCCATGTACAAGGTCTGCAACGACACCATCTGCCTCAGTTCCGACATACTCGCCGGCGTCGACGCCGCCGTGGGCGACGGCTGCGACGTCATCTCCATGTCCATCGGCGGAGTGTCCAAGCCGTTCTACCGTGACACCATCGCCGTGGGCACGTTCGGCGCCGTCGAGAAAGGGGTCTTCGTCGCCCTGGCAGCCGGCAACCGTGGCCCGAACGCCAGCTCCGTCACGAACGAGGCGCCCTGGATGCTCACCGTCGCCGCAAGCACCATGGACCGCTCCATCCGCTCCACGGTTCACCTGGGGAACGGCGTCTCCTTCCACGGTGAGTCGGTGTACCAGCCAGACGTCTCGGCTTCCGCCGCCTTCCATCCGCTGGTCTACGCCGGCACTAGCGGGAGGCCGTACGCCGAGCTCTGCGGCAACGGCTCGCTGGACGGCGTGGACGTCCGGGGCAAGATCGTGCTCTGCGAGTACGGAAGCGGACCAGACGGCAACATCACGAGGATCCTGAAAGGCGCGGTGGTTCGAAGCGCCGGCGGCGCCGGCATGGTACTGATGAACGGGTTTCTGCAAGGCTACAGCACGCTCGCCGACGCGCACGTGATCCCGGCGTCGCACGTCGACTACGCCGCCGCCTCAGCTATCATGTCCTACGTCCAGTCCGCGGCGAGCCCCACGGCGAAGATCCTCTTCGGGGGCACGATCCTCGGCACGTCGCCTGCTCCGTCCATGGCCTTCTTCTCCGCTCGCGGGCCGAGCCTCCAGAACCCCGGGATTCTGAAGCCCGACGTCACGGGGCCCGGCGTGAACGTGCTCGCCGCATGGCCATCCCAGCTCCAGGTCGGTCCGCCGCCGACGGCATCTGCTGCGGCTCCCCTCGGACCGCGGGGACCGACCTTCAACATCATCTCCGGCACGTCCATGTCGACGCCGCATCTCAGCGGCATCGCAGCCTTCATCAAGAGCAAGCACACTGATTGGTCGCCGGCAGAGATCAGGTCGGCGATAATGACCACCGCCGACGTCACGGATCGTGCGGGCAACGCCATCCTCAACGAGCAGCGCGTGGCGTCGGACTTGTTCGCCACCGGTGCCGGCCACGTCAACCCGGAGAAGGCGGCCGACCCTGGCCTGGTGTACGACATCGCGCCCAGCGACTACGTCGGCTTCCTCTGCGGCCTGTACAGTAGCCAGAACGTCTCCGTGGTCGCGCGGCGGCCGGTCGACTGCTCGGCCGTCACGGTGATCCCGGAGAGCATGCTGAATTACCCGTCGGTGTCGGTCGTCGTCCAGCCGACGTGGAATTGGAGCACGCCTGTGGTAGTTGAGCGTACGGTGAAGAACGTCGGAGAGGAGGTGTCGTCGGTTTACTACGCGGCGGTTGACATGTTTGACGACGATGTAGCTGTGGGCGTGTTTCCAAGCGAGCTGGTGTTCAGCGACGTAAACCAGGAGCAGAGCTTCAAAGTGATGGTGTGGCGGAAGCGCAGTAATAATAAGGGGGCCAAGGTGGTGCAAGGCGCGTTCCGTTGGGTGTCTGACACGTACACAGTCAGGAGCCCTATCTCCATATCCTTCACCTGACACCATAAATCTACCTTGCTGCTAGTGCTAGCTAAGCAGGGCCCTGTTTAGTTCCACCAAATTCCTAACTTTGACACTATGCAAAAAGAAGATTCTCCGTCACATCAAACTTACGGTACATATAGAGTACTAAATATTGACGAAATCAAAAACTAATTGCACAGTTTGGTTGTACTTTACGAGACGAACGTTTTGAGCCTAATTAGTCAATGTTTGAACAATTATTACCAAATAAAAACGAAAAAGTACTTCCCTGAATTTGGCGGCGCCGAATCGGACACCAAACTAAACGTGGCCTAGCTAGTTCTGTTTTAGTATACTAGCAAAGCGGGTCTCGTTTCCCCTGTATATAGCACAGGCCCAAAAAATTAATTCTACCCAGATCCAACGACTTGTCTAGGTATAAGACTGACTCCAACGGATCACGCATAGCGTGACCCAAACCCAAAATGGGTTGTCTACCGTGGTTTATCCGTGTAAAACACTCATCCAACGGAGTAGGCAAAGGAGCGACGCATTTTGAGTGGGAGCCGACACGGGACGCAAATAAGCGTCTTCTCTCCCTCCTTCTGCGTCTCCACGCTGCCGGAGCTCGTCCGTGCCCACCGCGCTCCTCTGTTCCTTCCGTCCGCAAGAGAGAGAGAAAGCGAGAGGGAGAGAACGAAGCGGAGGGAGAGAGAGAAGCAAGGCGGCGTGGTGGTTGCGGCATCTCAATCCTCCAGGGTCGTTCCTCCGCCGCCACCAGCGTGGCCCCGCGCCTCGCTGCTACTCGCCGGAGGATCCGATGGCAGCCGCTCATACTGCCCTGCGCTCAGACCACATCACCGCTCGTGGGTGCGCGTGGAGGGCTTGTTGGCGCGTGCAGTGGCCAGTGCCGACGTGGCTCTCCATTCTCTTCTCCCTCGCGTCACCCTCCTCCTCTCTCGCTCCTCCGCGCGGCGCCCGGCACGGCTGCCCCCAGCGCGGCGCCGCCTGGTTGGGTGGGCCCCACCGGTGGCGCGGGTGCGAGGCGACGGGGGCGAGGGCGTCCCCCGCAGTGGCCACGGGTGCGGGGCGAGCGCACCCCCGGTGCGGTGCTGCGAGCGGGCGTCTCCTGGTGCGGTCGATCCGGGGCATCGATGACTGGATCCAGGGCCTGGTGGCGTCCTCTCGCAGCGTCCGACGTCCGCGGGTACGAAAGGAGACCCGACGAGCGAGCGGAGGAGTGCGGCGCGCGGCTTCTTGTTTGCGTCGCCAGTTGGAAAAGGGAAGTTTTTGGGTCCGTGACTCTTTCACTGTGAGCTACCCAAACTGTCGAATGCCTCTTGTTTTTAGGTCCGGCTCGTTGGAGACAGTCTGATGAGTTTTTTTTGGGGGGCTTTCACCCTTATTATACTGGGCCTGTACAGATAAATCGCTGCCTAGTAAAATATTTCTCGGCCTCATCCTGGCCCGTAACATTAATTTCGTCTATTTTCACGCTGGAAACTCGTGGATCTAAATAGATCTGCAATTTTTTAGTTGGAGAACTGCTAACTATTAGTTCTATTATTAGATTTGGAATTGCTAATAGGTGCTAATAGTTCATATGCACATTCAACTCACTATCTAACCACTTATTAGTAGCTATTATCTATTAGCTACCTAATTTTTAGTGCTAATAATGGATCAAATAGGTCCTAAGTAGCAAGTTTTGTTTTAGTAACGGTTATTAAAATTTCCTTGTGTCTGCTCGCACGATAGAAATCGCAGCATGGGTGGCTCCTCCAGGCTGCGACACATGTCTGTGTCTGTTTTTTGAGGCAACTAACCCGCCATCCAGTACAGGACCCATATACAACATCCATGTTTGTATATTTTTCAGATAAGCTCCTAATGTAAATTTTATGCCACAGGTACAGAAAAAGGTTTTTAGAGACGGTCAAAAGTGATCTTCAGAGACGGTTTTAAAACCGCTGCTATGCCAGTGACTGTAAAAATAGGTGACTTTTAGAGGCGGTTTCAAAACCGCCTATAAACACTTGTTTTGAATATACAGCCTTTCGGTTGGCTGGTTCGTTTCGTTGCTGGTTCGTAAAGAAGTACTGCTGGCTGGTTTGTGTGAGAGAAAAATACTGTTTCGGCTGGAAATTTACAATCGTTTACGACAAGCCACAGCCAAACGAACAGGTTGATAAGTGCCGGCACCCGAATTCAAACCTACAACCTCTCCCTCGCGCGATACCTCCCCTACCACCGCACCATGCAGTCATTTATGTCTAGTTCTACGATATTGTCTATTTGGAATAATATGTATGAATCTTGTAATTAATATTTTAGCTCATAAAAAATCTTAAATGAGAAAACTTTCAACTATAAAGTTTTAGAACTCGTAGAGCACTGCAACTTTCATATAGAACATTTCTCCAAGGTCATTTGAATTCAAAATTTTAAAATTCAAAATCTGAGACTTAATTTATATATTTGGAACCCTAAATGATCGAAACAAAAATTTTATCAACTATAAAGTTTTAAATCTCGTCGAGCTCTACAATTTTGGTATAAATTTTGTCTTCATCCGACTTCATTTAAAAAAGATATGAATTTATTTGTGCTGCAGCTATTTTTAAGGATGGTTGACTTCAAACGTGCTTGAAAATCGATTTTCAGAGACAGTTGACTTAATTAAACTGCCTCTAAAAATCATTCATTTTTAAAGACGGTTGACATAAACAAGTGTTCTTGAAAATAACATTTTCGGAGGCGGATTTCTTAATAAAATCGCCCCTAAAAATTGATTTCTAGCAATGGTTGTGTTGCTACAGTGCCTCCCGTGAAGGTTAGTGACGGCGTGTTAAGACAACCGTTTCTGTTAGAAAAGGGAGGCGCCTCTAAAAATCATTTCTATACTAGTGTGCTAACATGAAGAAAATAATTTTATAATTGCCTTATTTTTGCGTAACACCCCCAACCTACTGGAGAGCCCCCCAACTGCCTCGAACCCTGCCTACCTCCTCATTCCACTCTCTCCTTGTCTCTCCCTACTATCGGGCGCTGTCGGCGAGATCGAGCGTGATTGTGGATTCGTGGAATGGAGGAGGGGCAAGTAGCTCGCAAGGTCACAGGTGTGACAATGATCACGACTCTAGGCTCCAACCCAACCTGGCCTGACTTTTGCTCTGGTGTATGAAAAATCAAGAGCGTACTTGACAAAACAAAAATATTAGTCTATATCTATAGATTTGGACATGTAAACATCTCGAATTTAAATGTGGTCAACTACAAAGTTTTAGATTTCTTTGAACTTTACAATTTTAGTATAAACTTTATCTTGATCTAATTTCATATGAAAAAGTTATGATTTTTTGTGCAAAATAGTCCATCAATGGTAGTTTAAGCCACGAATCAACGGTGATAGGTCCACGATCGTGAGTTGAAGTTGTATCACTGCTGGTTGACGTGGTAATCCATCGTGTATGGGTCTACCGTGAGTTGAGGTCGTTGGGTGATCTGCTCATGTTTTCCCTGCCTATACAGTGATATCCGTAGGCAGAGATGGATACCGGATTCCCTGCATGGATTCTCCTACTCGGGGACAGGGATGGAGGCGATTTAATCTTTACGGGAATTGAACAGTAAAATTTTAGTCACCGTTGGATTCATGGGGACGGGGATATCCCCACGTACCGTTCCTGCGAACTTACTCTTACTCTAAATTAACCTTTTGGCATGTTAAAACTATACAAAAAACTCAACATATAGCCTAGTATAATAGATGTTTTTAAATGAAATCTTGCTCATTCAATTTATATTGATTTAACACCATAAATTTGTTTTGCTCTCCAAATATTATATTTTTTAATGGGACGGGTTCTACGTAGAGATAAATTCCGCGACGGGGATGGGAGAGGAAGGAAAGCTCCACCATAAGGGCTCGTTCGTTTCATCTGGAATGCTCACCTAGAAAAATTCCTGGCGGGAATACTAGCTAAATTTGTATAAGTTTCATCAGTTGGAATAATTTCTGGACTGGTTTTGCTGTAACCAAATGGGCCCTAAGTGTTCGTGGGAACAGAGACGGGATGGGAAGCTATCCGCTGATGGTGGATTCTCAGTTGTCATCCCACCCGTAAGTGGGGATCCAGTGATAGAGCTGGTGTTCGTAATATACATTAGCCCGTGTGGTGGGGATGCAATCATCTGCTCCCGATATACGATAATGATATAAGCCACGGTCGTCCGTCTGTGACTACGCAGGAGTGGGCCCCATCTATCCATCTCTCTTAGAAATAGAAAAATGAATCCCCACTCGCTCATCCTTATCCGCCCAGTGCTCGCCGCAGCAGCGTGGCTGCTCATTCGTCCACGCCCCTTCCCCCACCGCGCGCTCGTCGGCTGTCGTGCCGTGCCCCACCACCTCGTGCCCCATCGTCGGTCGTGCCGCATGCCCATCCCAAACACCTATGCTGCTCGCTCCCTCACCGTCCGTCCAGCCGTATCCCAACACCGTCGCGCACATCGATTACCCCGCCATGGCCGCTGGGGCGCATGTGTCGTGGCGCCCCAAGTCTTCCCGAGCTTAGCCGAGCCAAGGGCACCCGCGAGCGCGGGCGGTGCTAGTGGTGCTCACGCGCCGTGGCTCGCAGCCGGCTCCGACCCCAACGCCAGAATCAACCGGCCCGACGTTCCCCTCCCCTATGTTGCATATGTATGCTTCAAGTGTTTCAAGCGTTTCAAATGTATGTTGCAATTGTTTCATCTTGCTGTTGTAAAAGTAGATCAAGGGATGTTGCATATGTTGCAAACATTTCAAAGGCATGTTGCAAGCGTTTGTTCAAAATATTTAATCTTTTTCAGACGTATGTTGCAATCGTCTTTGATCTAGATGTTGCATATGTTGCAACAGTATGTTCCAAATGTTTTAGTTGTTTAAGTCTTATGTTGCAGCAAGTGGTTTCATGTTGCAAGTTACAAGTGTTTTTTTGGATGTTTTATGTGCTTCACACACATGTTGCAAGAATATGTTCCAAATATTTCATTTG